GCGGCGTAGTGTGTTACTGATGGTAGGCTTTGATACTTTGGTCCCAACTCTCTGCAGGTCATTCACTAGGTCCCCCCGTATGGTTCTGGGATTTTTGCTCACCGTTCTTGTGATCATTTTGACCCGACGGGGTGAGATCTTGCGTGGAGCCGCAGATCGAGGGAGATTATCAGTGGTCTTGTATGTCTTCCATTTCCTAATAATTGCTCCCACAGTTGATTTCTTCAAACCAAGCTGCTTACCTATTGCAGATTCAGTCTTCCCAGCCTGGTGCAGGTCTACAATTTTGTTTCTGGTGTCCTTTGACAGCTCTTTGGTCTTGGCCATAGTGGAGTTTGGAGTGTGACTGTTTGAGGTTGTGGACAGGTGTCTTTTATACTGATAACAAGTTCAAACAGGTGCCATTAATACAGGTAACAAGTGGAGGACAGAGGAGCCTCTTAAAGAATAAGTTACAGGTCTGTGAGAGCCAGAAATCTTGCTTGTTTGTAGGTCCACCATATTTGCAAATAAATTCATTAAAAATCCTACAATGTGATTTTCTGGATTTTTTTCCTCAATTTGTCTGTCATAGTTGACGTGTACCTATGATGAAAATTACAGGCCTCTCTCGTCTTTTTAAGTGAGAGAACTTGCACAATTGGTGGCTGACTAAATACTTTTTTCCCCCACTGTATATAGTAGGAGTAGCGATATAGGGGTAGATATACAGTGAGGAAAAAAAGTATTTGATCCCCTGCTGATTTTGTACGTTTGCCCACTGACAAAGAAATGATCAGTCTATAATTTTAATGGTACGTTTATTTGAACAGTGAGAGACAGAATAACAACAAAAAAATCCATAAAAACTGTTATAAATTGATTTGCATTTTAATGAGGGAAATAAGTATTTGACCCCCTCTCAGTCAGAAAGATTTCTGGCTCCCAGGTGTCTTTTATACAGGTAACGAGCTGAGATTAGAGCACACTCTTAAAGGGAGTGCTCCTAATCTCAGTTTGTTACCTGTATAAAAGACACCTGTCCACAGAAGCAATCAATCAATCAGATTCCAAACTCTCCACCATGGCCAAGACCAAAGAGCTCTCCAAGGATGTCAGGGACAAGATTGTAGACCTACACAAGGCTGGAATGGGCTACAAGACCATCGCCAAGCAGCTTGTTGAGAAGGTGACAACAGTTGGTGCGATTATTCGCAAATGGAAGAAACACAAAAGAACTGTCAATCTCCCTCTGCCTGGGGCTCCATGCAAGATCTCACCTCGTGGAGTTGCAATGATCATGAGAATGGTGAGGAATCAGCCCAGAACTACACGGGAGGATCTTGTCAATGATCCCAAGGCAGCTGGGACCATAGTCACCAAGAAAACAATTGGTAACACACTACGCCGTGAAGGACTGAAATCCTGCAGCGCCCACAAGGTCCCCCTGCTCAAGAAAGCACATATACAGGCCTGTCTGAAGTTTGCCAATGAACATCTGAATGATTAAGAGGAGAATGGGTGAAAGTGTTGTGGTCAGATGAGACTAAAATCGAGCTCTTTGGCATCAACTCAACTCGCCGTGTTTGGAGGAGGAGGAATGCTGCCTATGACCCCAAGAACACCATCCCCACCGTCATACATGGAGGTGGAAACATTATGCTAAGGGGGTGTTTTCTGCTAAGGGGACAGGACAACTTCACTGCATCAAAGAGACAATGGATGGGGCCATGTACCGTCAAATCTTGGGTGAGAACCTCCTTCCCTCAGCCAGGGCATTGAAAATGGGTCGTGGATGGGTATTCCAGCATGACAATGACCCAAAACACACGGCCAAGGCAACAAAGGAGTGGCTCAAGAAGAAGCACATTAAGGTCCTGGAGTGGCCTAGCCAGTCTCCAGACTTTAATCCCACATAAAATATGTGAAGGGAACTGAAGGTTCGAGTTGCCAAACGTCAGCCTTGAAACCTTAATGACTTGGAGAAGATCTGCAAAGAGGAGTGGGACAAAATCCCTCCTGAGATGTGTGCAAACCTGGTGGCCAACTACAAGAAACGTCTGACCTCTGTGATTGCCAACAAGGGTTTTGCCACCAAGTACTAAATCATGTTTTGCAGAGGGGTCAAATACTTGTTTCCCTCATTAAAATGCAAATCAATTTATAACATTTTTGACATGCATTTTTCTGGATTTTTTTGTTGTTATTCTGTCTCTCACTGTTCAAATAAATCTACCATTAAAATTATAGACTGATCATGTCTTTGTCAGTGGGCAAACGTACAAAATCAGCAGGGGATCAAATACTTTTTTCCCTCACTGTATATATAGTAGGAGTAGAGATATAGAGGTATATATATATATATATATATATATATATATATATTAGGAGTAGAGATATAGGGGTATATATATATATAGTAGGAGTAGAGATATAGGGGTAGATATACAGTGCATTCGGAAAGTATTCAGACCCCGTTACTTTTTTCAAATTTGTTACGTTACAGCCTTATTCTAAAAAGGATCAAATTGTTTTTTCCCCTCATCAATTTTTTTTTTGTTGCTAATTTATAACATTAAATAAACTGAAATATCACATTTACATAAGTATTCAGACCCCGTTTTCGCTTTGTCATTATGGGGTATTGTGTGTAGATTGTGTGTAAAAAAAACTTGTATTTAATCGATTTTAGATTTAGGCTGTAACGTAACAAAATTTCGGAAGAAAGTCAAGGGGTCTGAATGCATTGTATATAGTAGGTAGGAGTATAGATATATGGGTATAGGGTATATATATATAGTAGGTAGGAGTAGAGATATAGGGGTATATATATATAGTAGGTAGGAGTAGAGATATAGGGGTAGATATATATATAGTAGGAGTAGAGATATAGGGGTAGATATATATATATATAGTAGGAGTAGAGATATAGAGGTAGATATATATATATAGTAGGAGTAGAGATATAGGGGTATATATATATAGTAGGAGTAGAGATATAGGGGTACATATATATATAGTAGGAGTAGAGATATAGAGGTATATATATATATAGTAGGAGTAGAGATATAGGGGTATATATATATAGTAGGTAGGAGTAGAGATATAGGGGTATTATATATAGTAGGTGGAGTAGGATATAGGGGTAGATTATTATATAGTAGGGTAGATATAGAGGTAGATATATATATAGTAGGAGTAGAGATATAGGGGTAGTATATATCTAGTAGGAGTAGAGATATAGAGGTAGATATATATATAGTAGGAGTAGAGATATAGAGGTAGATATATATATAGTAGGAGTAGAGATATAGAGGTAGATATATATATATATATAGTAGGAGTAGAGATATATGGGTATAGGGTATATATATATAGTAGGTAGGAGTAGAGATATAGGGGTATATATACAGTGGGGAAAAAAAGTATTTAGAGATATAATGGCAGGTACTAATAAGGTTTTAACAATCACCCATATTAGCAAATGTATTTAAGTTCAAACTTCACATTACTCTAGTAGGGCCATATGGGTAATTTATTGTAACGAACGTTATCGGCAAAATGTCCACGATAAGTTGTCGGTTTGGTCGGTGTCGATAATTTTTGGTTTATCGTTCCAGCTCTACATGGTTAGATATCCATTTTCAAGCCTTGAGTCAAGGTGTTTGGTTTATTATTGTTTAACAGGTGGTGTCTGAGTGGAACGCTCCATCCAGGAGGCTATCGAAAGCTTTTCCAGGTGTAAGAAACGTGTGCTAGTACAATTAGTGTATATTACAGTAGGGCATTATGAGAACTCCCAAGGGCGCTAACTCTCTTGAGACTGTTGTTAGTGGAACTGCCTTGAAGTCAAACAATCTGGGATTGAATGGTCATACCTATTCCCGCCAGTCGCAAATAAAAACACACCCTTTACCCTTTTAGTATGCAGTAGTTACTAAAGCTATCATTGCTAACTACTAGGTAGCTAGCTAGCTAAGATGCTTAGCCACAATTGCCTGACTAGAATGCAAACTATGAAAGATTGCTAGCTACATACTACATAGAACAAACAAATCCTCATGACGGATTTGGGAGATTTACAACTACAATCATGACATAGATATTACTTTATTATCTGTAGTGTTTATAAATTAAAACTCTTCTCAGTTCTCACCTGGTTCATCACACTTAGGCCGGCCAGTGCCGGGTCCTTTCCTGGTCCCTGCTCTCTCCTGCCCCCTGCTGTCCACACACCAGCAGTGTCCTGTAGAACCATGGCACTGAGAGGCTCTGTACAGACCCTGCTCATCACACTGGGGTACAAAAGCCCCCACGATACGTTGCCCACTAGGACTGGTCGTCTGGACACCGTCTCTATGCTGCTCACAGTGAGTCTTGGGCCTCTCAGGGCGATCTGTAGAGACAGGTAAGTTGCTAAATCATAAAGTTGCATCCTTAATACAACACCTAGCAAACGTGTCAGTAGGGGTGGACCTCTTGGCGTAAAATGGCTAAAGCGTTGGACTGACAGATGCAGGGACCGGGTTTGACTCTGTCACGCTACCCTCTGAATTCACTCCATTGGTGTCTGAGTGGAACGCTCCATCCAGGAGGCTATCGAAAGCTTTTCCAGGTGTAAGAAACGTGTGCTAGTACAATTAGTGTATATTACAGTAGGGCATTATGAGAACTCCCAAGGGCGCTAACTCTCTTGAGACTGTTGTTAGTGGAACTGCCTTGAAGTCAAACAATCTGGGATTGAATGGTCATACCTATTCCCGCCAGTCGCAAATAAAAACACACCCTTTACCCTTTTAGTATGCAGTAGTTCCTAAAGCTAACATTGCTAACTACTAGGTAGCTAGCTAGCTAAGATGCTTAGCCACAATTGCCTGACTAGAATGCAAACAATCAAAGCTTGCTAGATACATACTACATAGAACAAACAAATCCTCATGACGGATTTGGGAGATTTACAACTACAATCATGACATAGATATTACTTTATTATCTGTAGTGTTTATAAATTAAAACTCTTCTCAGTTCTCACCTGGTTCATCACACTTAGGCCGGCCAGTGCCGGGTCCTTTCCTGGTCCCTGCTCTCTCCTGCCCCCTGCTGTCCACACACCAGCAGTGTCCTGTAGAACCATGGCACTGAGAGGCTCTGTACAGACCCTGCTCATCACACTGGGGTACAAAAGCCCCCACGATAGGTTGCCCACTAGGACTGGTCGTCTGGTCACCGTCTCTATGCTTCTCACAGTGAGTCTTGGGCCTCTCAGGGCGATCTGTAGGGACAGGTAAGGGTTTAACTATAGAGGTATTCGATCAATCTAATCTTTGCAAAAAACATAGGTTCCTAGTAATGTTGCACGGTACACCGAAACATCAGTACTTTTTCAATACTAGAACATGAAAAATAGTTTGGTACTAGAATTTGTTTTACTTTCGGTACTTCTGTAGTCTTTTTCATAAGCCGGCTCATTTGGCTCCCAAACGGCTCTTCATTCAAAATGCTTCAAATTCGACATAGAACCATGATAAAAATTGCAAATCTCCAATGTAAATCCCAACCAGTAGACTACCATTATGTCACATCGTGAAATCCGCTTTCAAATACATTTTTACCTGGCTAAATTATTAGATCACCTGAAAAAAAAAACGCATGGCAAAAATTGTGTTTGGCGCTCATTATCAGTTTATAAGTAATGTTGTATGGATAATATTTACATTTACGGAGTGGGTGAACTCCATTCCTGACGGGCTGATCAGGTACAATTTCAGCCACAGAGCTTGTTTAGATTCAAAAGCAGCCTCAGAGGCTTATAAATCATGATTCTGCCTTGTAGGCTGTTTCATAGCTAAAGCTCCTTGCAGGAAGATTATCAGTGAAGCGTGATTCATCACTCCAGAGAACGCATTTCCACTGCTCCAGAGTCCAATGGCGGTGAGCATTACATCACTCCAGCAAACGCTTGGCATTGCGCGTGGTGATATTAGACTGCTCGGCCATGGAAACCCATTTCATGAAGCTCTCAACGAACAGTTATTGTGCTGACGTTGCTTCCAGAGGCAGTTTGGAACTCGGTAAAACATTTAATGTGAGTGTTGCAACCGAGGACAGACGATTTTTACGCACTTCAGCACTCGGTGGTCCAGTTCTGTGAGCTTGTGTGGCTGAGCCGTTGTTGCTCCTAGTGTCACACCCTGATCTGTTTCACCTGTCTTTGTGATTGTCTCCACCCCCCTCCAGGTGTCACCCATCTTCCCCATTATCCCCAGTGTATTTATACCTGTGTTCTCTGTTTGTCTGTTGCCAGTTTGTTTTGTTTCTTCAAGCCCACCAGCGGTTTTCCCCTTGCTCCTGTCTTCGACACTGTCTGCATCTGGGTCTTCACCTGAAACGTGATACCTAGACCTTTCCACTTCACAATAACAACACCTACAGTTGACCGGGGCAGCTCTAGCAGGGCAGAAATTTGACGAACTGACTTGTTGGAAAGGTGGCATTCTATGACGGTGCCACGTTGAAAGTCACTGAGCTCTTCATTAAGGCCATTCTACTGCCTATGTTTGTCTATGGAGTTTGCATGGCTGTGTGCTCGATTTTATACACCTGTCAGCAACGCGTGTGGCTGAAATAGCTGAATCCACTAATTTGAAGGGTTGTCCACATACTTTTGTATATATAGTGTACATTTATATCCGTGGAGGCTCATAATAATGGCTGGAATGGAGTCAGTGGAATGGTATCAAACACATCAAACATGTGGTTTCCATGTGGTTGACACCATTCCATTGACTCCATTCCAGCCATTATTATGAGCCGTCCTCCCCTCAGCAGCCTCCACTGATTTAAATACATACATGCACACATACACGGTCAAAAGTTTTAGAACACCTACTCATTCAAGGGTTTTTCTTTATTTTTTACTATGTTCTACATTGTAGAATTATAGTGAAGACATCAAAACTATGAAATAACACATATGGAATCATGTAGTAACCAAAAAAAGTGTTAAACAAATCAAAATATATTTGAGATTCTTCAAATAGCCACCCTTTGCCTTGATGACAGCTTTGCACACTCTTGGCATTCTCTCAACCAGCTTCGATATTGACGTTTTGCCTGTTTGACTGCCTTACAGAGGGAACGACCACACTGTTTGTATTCTGCCATGTTCCCCGTCACCTTGCCATGGTTAAATGCGGTGGTTCATGCTTTCAGTTTTTCGCGAATGCTGCCATCTATCCACGGTTTCTTTTTAGGGTAGGTTTTAATATTCACAGTGGGTACAACATCTCCTATGCACTTCCTTATAAACCCACTCACCGAATCAGCGTATACGTCTATATTATTCTCAGAGGCTACCCGGAACATATCCCAGTCCGCTTGATCAAAACAATCTTTATGCGTGGATTCCGATTGGTCAGACCAGCGTCGAATAGTCCTTAGCACGGGTGCCTCCTGTTTGAGTTTCTGCCTATAGGAAGGGAGGAGCAAAATGGAGTCGTTGTCAGATTTGCCAAAAGGAGGGCAGGGGAGGGCCTTGTATGCATCGCAGAAGTTAGTGTAACAAAGGTCCAGCGTTTTTCCAGCGCAGGTGATAGAATTTAGGTAGCCTTTTTCTCAAATTTGCTTTGTTAAAATCCCCAGCTACAATAAATGCAGCCTTAGGATATATGGTTTCCAGTTTGCATAAAGTCCAGTGAAGTTCCTTGAGGGCTGTCATGGTAACGGCTGTAACAATAGCCGAAGAGAATTCTCTTGGGAGATAATTCGGTCAGCATTTGATTGTGAGGAATTCTAAGTCAGGTGAACAAAATGACTTGAGTTCCTGTATGTTGTTACAATTACACCATGAGTCGTTAATCATGAAAAATAACCCCCCTTCTTCTTCCCGGAGAGATGTTTATTCCTGTCGGTGCGATGTACTGAGAACCCAGATGGCTGTATGGACGGGGACAGTATATCCCGAGAGAGCCATGTTTCCGTGAAACAGAGGATGTTACAATCCCTGATGTCTCTCTGGAAAGCAACCCTTGCCCTGAGCTCGTCAACTTTGTTATCTAGGGACTGGACATTAACAAGTAATATACTCGGAAGCGATGGGTGGTGTGCACGCCTCCTAAGTCTGACTAGAAGACAGCTCCGGCTGCCTCTCCTCCAGCAGCATTGTTTTGGGTCGGCCTCTGGAATCAGTTAAAATGCCCTTGGTGGTACGGACAAAGGATCCGCTTCGGGAAAGTCGTATTCCTGGTCGTAGTGCTGGTAAGTTGACGCCGCTCTGATATCCAATAGTTCTTCCCGGCTGTGTGTAATAACACTTAAGGTTTTCTGGGCTAACAATGTAAGAAATAATACATAAAAAAACTAAATACTGCAAAGTTTCCTAAGGACTAGAAGCGAGGCAGCCCTCTCTGTCAGCGCCATTTTATAAATGTTTGGCTTCTCATCTATCCCAGAACAACAATTAGCTTTAAGCTACTTTTCATATGTCTTCAATACTAATCACAGATAATCATGCCCCTTTCAAAAAAACTGAGAGTTAAAAATAGATCTAACGCTTGGTTCACTCCTGATTTATCTGAAGTTATACACAAGAGAGATGCTGCTTTGGCCAAGGCCAGAAAAATAAACGTAGGACCAGATTGGCAGTATTTTAGGCAACTGAGGAATCAATGTGTAATACTGATTAGAAAGGCCTGTCTGAGTACTATGTAAACACTCTTTCTGAGGCCTGTCTGAGTACTATGTAAACACTATTTCTGATTGTAAGGGGGATCAGGCTAAATTCTGGAAAATTGTAAAATCTCTGAAGGGATACTTCCCCCTTCTCTGCCCCAACAAATAAACTCTAGACCAATTATGGACAAAAATGCCATCATTGGTGCATTTAATCACCATTTTATTTCAGCGGGCTATATCTTTGAAATAACTTCTATACCTACTCTCTATGAGATTGGGCTCAATGCTGATAGGGGAAATTTGCAAAATGATTGCAGAATGATTGTTCTTTCATTGCGTTGTTCTTACATTACACTTGATTCAGTATAGCCTTTGAACCAGGTCATAACATAATTGAAAATGACAGGTAGTTAATGGCAGGGTTGCCTTCAAAATCAAATAAATCTGCCATTCTGCCATTGAGCAAGGCAGTTAACCCCAACTAAACTGCTCCCCGGCGCCAATGACGTGGATATTGATTAAGGCAGCCCCCCTGCACCTCTCTGATTCAGAGGGGTTGGGTTAAATGCGGACGACACATTTCAGTTGAATGCATTTAGTTGTACAACTGACTAGGTATCCCCCATTTCCTTTCCCTTTCCTCAAACTCACCTTTCACCATGACTTCAAGGTTCCTGAAAAGACAAGATGAAATGCAAACTTTGTCATCTCAGATGCGTACAGCTGATGCAGATAGAAAACATGTTTGCTTGGATTCAACGTTTATATAACCTGGCCTTGAGAAAGCAGAAAACCCGTGTGACAAGACTACTGTCCGCTGTGTTATTGACATCCCACTGTAGTGAGACCAGACGACTGTCCTCTGTTATTGACATCCCACCGTACAAACAAATCTAAAAACCATGTTTTCAACTATTTGTATCCGAGGGCACCTAGACATTACGGTTGGCACTAACAACATTTTCTATAATGCATAAATAATATCCACACTAAACATGAGGGTGAGAGCAGAGTGCTCTGTGTGGTTACTTACTGTGGCGCGGTGTGGCTGAGAGCCAGGGCCAGGGCCAGGCACAGTGTCTGGGAGAGCAGCTTCATGATGAGAGAGAGAGAGAGAGAGAGAGGGAGAGAGCAAGCTAAAAGAGAGCAGTCCTCTGGGTCCAGGAGAAAGTTCTGGAGAGAGCACAGTGTGTAAAGTTACCTGGGCTGCAGCTGGACCTTTATACCTGAGATGGGGTCGGGGGGATATGGTGGTGGGGGGGTTGTCGGTGGCGGCTGAGCTGAGGGGTGGGGTGTAGTGGTTAATGATTGACATGAAGTTAAAGGGGGTCAGGGATCATATAAAAACATGTAGGATGAGAGAGAGAGACATTTTTAGGATGAGAGTCTGGAAAGGCTGTTTTGATGTTGTCGGCACCATGTGTTGATAATGAAGGGGGCTAACTCGTCAACAGCAAAACAGTTTCTCCGCCGAGAAGGAGAGAGAATTATCAATTGTCAAATCTGAGTTAAATTCCTTAGTCAGATTAAGAGCAGAATTTCAAATTCATAGAGTAATGACAAACTGATTACCTGAACGGTAATATCCCTACATTGCCTTCAGAAAGTATTCACACCCCTTGACTTTTTCCACATTTTGTTGTGTTACAAAGTGGGATTAAAATGGATTTAACTGTCTTTTTTTTTTGTCAACGATCTACACACAATAATCTGTCATGTCAAAGTGGAAGAAAATGTATAATATTTATTTTAAATGAATGGAAAATAAAACATTAATATATCTTGATTAGATAAGTATTCAACCTCCAGAGTCAATACATGTTAGAATTACCTTTGGCAGCGATTACAGCTGTGATTCTTTTGCACACCTGGATTGTACAATATTCGCCGATTATTATTTTTTAAATTCTCCAAGCTCTGTCAAGTTGGTTGTTGATCATTGCAAGACAGCCATTTTCAAGTCTTGCCATAGATTTTTAAGCAGATTTAAGTCAAAACTGTAACTAGGCCACTCAGGAACATTCAATGTCGTCTTGGTAAGCAACTCCAGTATGTATATATTTGGCCTTGTGTTTTAGAGTACTGTCCTGCTGAAAGATGAATTTAATCTCCCAGGGTCTGGTGGAAAGCAGAATGAACCAGGTTATCCTCTAGGAGTTTGTCTGTGCTTAGCTCTATTCCGTTTCTTTTTATAAAATAAAATAAACTCTCTAGTCCTTGCCGATGACAAGCATACCCATAACATGATGCAGCCTCCACCATGCTTGAAAATATGAAGAGTGGTACTCAGTGATGTGTTGTGTTGGGATTTGTCCTTTTACCTAAAACACAAGGCAAAAATATACAATGGAGTTGCTTACCAAGACGACATTGAATGTTCCTGAGTGGCAGTTTGGACTTAAATCAGTTGTCTTGTAGACATGTTTTTATTTTCTACTGTTTTTCGATTTACTGTCTATGTATTTTTTTTTTATATGATCTTTTACTGGTTGGTTCTCCTCCGTGTCTTTCTCACTTAAACACCCACAGGCCCACCCACACACAGCCCCCGAGCGCCGCCCGCTTCCATTACAACTGTTGAATTTTCAAATCCAAAGAACCAAGAGGTCTCAATTTCTGAGCGAATATTGCATTAACAAACGGCCTCCTGTCCAGACCAGTGAGTCACAGCTCTTCCTCGCTGTGTGGTCTCGTCAACCAGGCTTGATTGTTCAGCACTTCAAGCTGTAGATTAAAGACGCTCTACGAAAAAAGTGTATTATTGACGTGCTCTTATTATATATTGTTATATATTGTGCTATACCATATAAAAACTCTTCACAGTACTTTTTACATTTAGTTTATGTATGAAGTTTATTTGGACAGGAACAATGTACAACAAAAACATAAGTGTCAGTATACTGAGAAATGATGTGATGCATCAGATTTAGCTAACAGCTCATTTCCATCTAGAGGTCCAGCTCTAAGCTCGTGCCGTCAACCCGTCTCTTGCATGGACCCAATGGTACAGTGTAGCCTTGACCATTAAAAACATTAATAATTTACATGCAGAACATGGTCCTTATCTCCTTCATATTTACATGACCTGGAGCTTTGGTTCAAACCAGAGCAGCTTTCATAATGTCAGTCACGGTCTTTCAGATCCTCTGTTGTACTCACATGCTCATCCCCAGAATCTTTTCACAAAATATTTTTCGCGTGTCTGTTGTCAAAGGATAAATCTAAGAACATGAACAACTTCATAGTTAACAACACTATAACAGTATGGAAGAAAATGAAACGTATTCTACAAGAACCGATATCACTCCCTGAAAACACACCCCTTATGTAACAATCCTTGGATAGCTTTTTAGAATTCACCAATAAATTGTCCCACATGGAAAACTAAAGTCATAGAAACTGTAAATGACGTGGGAATAGGAAATACAATTATTTCCATGACAGAATAAAAAATAAATACATTTTTGACTGACAAATGTAGACATTTTCAAATACAGTGCCTTCAGAAAGTATTCACACCTTTTCACTTTTTCCACATTTTGTTGTTACAGCCTGAATTTAAAATTGATTTAATTGAGATTTAGTCTCACTGGCCTACACACAATACCCCATTATGTCAAAGTGGAATATGTTAATTCTTGTATTTTATTCTTTATTATTATTTTGTATATAAAATGAAAAGCTGAAATGTCTTGAGTCAATAAGTATTCAACCCCTTTGTTATGGCAAGCATAAATAAGTTCAGGAGTAAAAATGTGCTTTACAAGTCACATAAGTTGCATGGACTCACTCTGTGTTTAACATGACTTTTGAATGACTACCTCATCTCGGTACCCCACACAAACAATGATCTGTAAGGTCCCTCAGTCGAGCATTGAATTTCAAACACAGATTCAACCACAAAGACCAGGGAGGTTTTCCAATGCCTCGCAAAGAAGGGCTCCTATTGGTAGATGGGTGAAAATAAAAAATAAAGCAGATATTGAAAATCGCTTTGAGCATGGTGAAGTTATTAATTACACTTTGGATGGTGTATCAATACATCCAGTCACTACAAAGATACAGGCGTCCTTCCTAACTTAGTTGCCGGAGAGGAAGGAAACCGCTCAGGGATTTCACCATGAGGCCAGTGGTGACTTTAAAACAGTTACAGAGTTTAATAGCTGTGATAGGAGAAAACTGAGGATGGATCAACATGATTGTAGTTACTCCACAATAATAACCGAATTGACAGAGTGAAAAGAAGGAATCTTGTACAGAATAAACATATTCCAAAACATGCAACAAGGCACTAAAATAAAACTGCAAAAAATGTGGAAAATAAACTAACTTTGTCCTGAATACAAAGCGTTATGTTTGGGGCAAATCCAACACAACACATCACTGAGTACCACTCTTCATATTTTCAAGCATGGTGGTGGCTGCATCATGTTATGGGTATGCTTGTCATCGGCAAGGACTAGAGAGTTTTTTTTTTAATAAAAAGAAACGGAATAGAGCTAAGCACAGACAAAATCCTAGAGGAAAACCTGGTTCAGTCTGCTTTCCACCAGACACTGGGAGACAAATTCACCTTTCAGCAGGACAATAATCTAAAACACAAGGCCAAATATACACTGGAGTTGCTTACAAAGACAACATTGAATTTTCCTAGTTTCAGTTTTGACTTAAATCTGCTTGAACATCTATGGCAATGGCTTGAAAATGGTTGTCTAGCAATGATCAACAACCAACTTGACAGAGCCTGAATTTTTTTTAAAGAATAATGTGCAAATATTGTACAATCCAGGTATGCAAAGCTCTTAAGAGACTTACCCAGAAAGCCTCACAGCTGCAAGAGGTGCTTCTACAAAGTATTGACTCAGAGGTGTGAATACTTATGCAAATTAAATATTTCTGTATTTAAGTTTCAATACATTTGCAAAAAAAAAATTTTAAACAGGTTTTCACTTTGTCATTATGGGGTATTGTGTGTAGATGGGTGAGAAAAAAACCCATATTTAATCCATTTTGAATTCAGGCTGTAACACAACAAAAGGTGGAGTAAGTCAAGGGGTATGAATACTTTCCGCAACCTAAAAGTTTTATATCAGGAAATGTCGACCTGAAAGCTTTTGGACATCAGAGCAATGTTGAGGGAATCCTATTTGAGTCAGAAACATTTACATTTACATTTTAGTCATTTAGCAGACGCTCTTATCCAGAGCGACTTACAGGAGCAATTAGGGTTAAGTGCCTTGCTTAAGGGCACATCGACAGATTTTTCACCTAGTCGGCTCGGGGATTAGAACCAGCGACCTTTCGGTTACTGGCACAACGCTCTTACCCACTAAGCTACCTGCAGAAACAGATACTCATATGACAGGTAAGATATACCAAACCTTGCAGAGAGACTATCCAACTGACAATCTCTTAGAAAAAAATATATAAACTACTGGAACCAATACTTTAAAATAACCAATATTATCACAAGATGGAGGGAGTGTTGGAACATAACCAACGAAGTTAACAGTTAACAAAAATATACGCTTAATTCAATATAAACCAATGTATATAATTTATTATACAAGAGACAAAATTCACAAAATTCTACAGCACAACGGCAGAGTCATGTCTTAAGTGTAAAAATAACAATGACTGAATAATTCATGCCTTCTGGGAGTGCTATAAAGTCAAAAAGGTATGGGCAGAGTTAGAATGCTGGCTGTCAGAAGTTTTACATTATAAGTTTACGTGTAATCCGTCTATCTGCATATTTCAAGACATGGCATATGGGGGTTTAGTGAGATACCCCATTGGTTGGACAATATTCTTTGTTACTTAAATTGAAGAAGCTATAATTTAAATACTGGAAGTCAAATAATACGCCAACGTTAAGAGAATGGAAGAATCAAATGGTATATTATTTAAATATTGAAAAAGATCTGGCTACAGACATTAACAACATAACACAATCTGAAGTCATATGGGGCGGAGTCTTACTAGCATTAGAACAACATTGGTTGTGGACATGGTGGGAACATGTGGATCTGAGGAAGTGTGATGTCGTTCATGTTCGTAGAAATGTATGTAAACATTAAGTTGTTTATTGTTTGTATCAAAAAAGTAAAATAAAACAAATAATACTAAAATAATTTTAAAATAACCTCGGCAGTAAGTAGCAGGAGGCAGCAGGATCAGGGGTAAAATACTGCCCAGTTTATTAACAGTGAAAGGTGGTTCCCGGTGAATGACGAAATGCAATGAATATTTACATAATCTACAAAGGTATTCACAGAATGAACATAATCTCAAAATACAGGTTTGAATATAAAT